TCTTAAAACGATCAAAGTAAAAAATTCTGTTTGTAATATAAAATGTATAGCACTTAGTATAACTCATAAAATACTTTTATAAGAACTATTCCATTATTATTACTGATGTGAACGTATGGTATGCTGAAGTTTTTCATGAAAATGTTAAAATTCATCTCGTATATTTTCTATAAACAAATATTTAATTTGATTGTTCTAGTTTTCAGTTACAAGTTATTTCGTTATTTTGCATGTTTGTTTAGTTCCTAATAATAATAATCGTTAACAGACTCGAAAGGAACTTTGAAAATTTATTATTATAGACAGGTACTAAAAACTTTTTAATGCTTATATTATTTTGAGGGAATAAATAATAATCGCTACAAGTAAGTTTTTGTTTTATGAGATTTATGTAAATACATAAAAGACGACATAATATTCATTCATAAATGAATTGATCATATTTCATAAATTAATAATTCAGAAGTATATTTTTCTTGGTTAAGGATCCTACCTTAATAAAAACAATTTATGATCTGTTCGAGATCCCGCAAAATCTTAAGGTTTCAGAGAGAAATCCCGCGGGGTCAGAAACAATGTCGGAATACAATCCCTACAAATATGAATAATTTACGATTTTTTTGCACTAAAACATAATTTAGGAATATTAGTATTCAAATACTAAGTCTCACGAGAGGTGAGTGGAATACTAAAATAAGAACATTGCTTAGTGAATTGAAAAAAAATCACAAATGTAATGGCTACATACCTTTACTAAATATAATATCATATAAATACTTGTAACTCATATGTATTTCAAATCAAAATCATCGGAAATCCAAGAATACTTGCATCATGAATCTTATTTAGAAACATCAAACGAATGAGTGTAAATTATTATTATAGAATTGGATTCATAAATAAATCAGACACTTCAACTTTGTATACATTTAACATTAATTTTGGGAACTTGCTAGCCTTCTTTCATATTTTATAACAGATAATTGAATTTGATTTAAAATGTAAACATTTAAAAATAACCGTTTGAGGTGATCCAAATCCGAATATTTAATAACCATTAGTTATCGTTTTAATACTGTATTTAATGATTATAATAATACTCAGTATATTAAAAAAAGGTGATTCTTAGATAAAAAAATTCTCTTGTTGCGGTGTTAGACAGAGAACTCCTCCGAAACGGCTTGACCGATTTTGATGAAATTTTGTGAACATATTGAGTAGGTCTGAGAATCAGCCAACATCTATTTTTCATTCCCCTAAGTTTAAGGGTAAGGGTTGTTCACCCTTAATTTTTTTTTTCGGACGAAAATTTTTGTTTTTATTTTTTTATAATGTAACATTAAAAATACATACAACACAAACTTTTTACTTTTTTATCACCAACCCCTATTTTTTTATATGGCCAAACAACGTTTGCGGGGTCAGCTAGTTATATAATATATAATTTCCTTATATTGATAGTTCCTCATATAAACTAAACAAAGGATATAATTTGTACGTGTAAGAGCATTATTGTTTGCTTCATATTTCTTCTATAATAAATCATATTAATTTTGCTATTAAGATAACACAGTAAGAGGAATATTATTATGATGGATTATATATTATTTTTCCGATTCAGTCGTGACAAATGTTCTTAACGTTATTCTTTAAGTTATTTTGCACCGTCTGAATATTTCATTGGTCCGTGTCACAAAGGAAAACTTTGATAAGTGAAACGGTAAATGTGACTTGTTTATTCATTTATCATCTACAAAAAGACGAATAGTACGTCGTAAGAGTTAGAATAATGTCTGAATAACAAACTATTAAGTGTAGAGTATTTTAATAATGACAACCGCGGTCATTAACATTGGTTGAAAAACGTTTTTATTATTAACAAGACATAAGATTGAAATACAAAAATATCTGTTGACTAAAATATTTTAATATGACTGATTTTTTAAATACACAGTACTAAGCTATCTACTCAGTTGAATATATGTTTAATTTATATATTATGTTGGAATTGCGATACCACATTTTATAATATAAATTTTTGATGAGGTTTTTAGCCTTTTTGAATTAAAATCTAATGAATGTTCAATTAATATGTAACTGTGAATACTATACATTATATTTTAGGGGATAAGCTTGAAGTCTAAGAATTATTACAAACAAGGAATATTAACATGAACGAGATACATAAACTTGGGTTAAAAATTCATTATATGTACGTTAAAAGTGTTATTAAGATACGTCTAATTATTATTCAAACGTTTGAATCAAATTGTTCAAATTAAAAACGTTTGAGTCAAAGATCAAGAATAGATGTGAATTATATATTGTTAGAGTTTTAATTCATAGAAAACATCGATATATTCTACGAGTGCAGAAAATAGAATCTAGACGTATGGGAAACACGAGATAATTTATAATTTGCTGAAATAAATCAGTAAAGTCTGCAAAAATTTCGTAAATTTGTTTTAAAATGAAACGTTATAGATTTTTATAAAATAATCTAATCATACATAAATATCTCATATGTTTACTGATTCGGAAACTCGATAACAACATAGATGAAATCTGGTTCCTGATTGAACACAAGGTAATGAGAATGGCTCTCTTTTTTTTCAAAGATCTTTCATATGTACGGACGGACCGCGAGTGGGCAGCGAGTAATCTACTGTGAAATAATATTACCGCGCTATGAGAACATAAGCCGACGTAATACTGGAGAAATATGTTCTACTAACATAAAGATATTATGTATGAAATCCTTTTAAGTGAACTATAATTTTTTAACCCTTAATTTGTGCTATAAATTACTTATCATCAATTTAGCTCAGGAATTCCTTTTATAGTTTTTAACTAATATTTCTTTAAAGTTAAACATTACTTATCAATTGATTGATGAATTAATTTTTTTCCTTCAATTAAGATTGTCGATTCTATGAAATCTAGGTATCCAACGAGAGTCGAAATTATTATTAAAATTTCATTGAATAAACGATCTCATTAATCAGATGATTTGTATGTAGTTGCATTTGTTTTTGTTCGACAGCAAAGTCAACATACCATCGAACGGACTTATAGTTTTTGCCATTTAAATTGAGTTGACATAAGTAATTGTGATGAGTATTGTTTATAATTCTATTCATCTAAAAAGTTACTTGACCATTTAATTCATTATAAAAAAATAGTTATAAACGATAATTTTAATATTTTGTTTGCACGTACCATAGTTTTTTCCTTCAAAATATTATCTATTTTGTTTGTGTAATTTTTGGAAGGGGTTTTCAGGGATTTTTCTATCTATAATACGTAGGTTTAAAATAACGAACCGTTAGCACAAAAATATCTTGGGTAAAATAGTTCGCAAAAACTGACTTTTTGGCACGAGCTGTAATTAAAGATGGATTAACATCTCCAAACATGACAGGGCAAATTGGAAATTGATAGTGTCTATGAAATCAAACGAATGAACCTTTAAATTTCTTTGAAACGGGTTTTTATTGACAAAGGATGGAGATTATTAAAAATTTCTAACACATAAAATATGAATATTTGTTTTTTAAAAACTTTATTTACTTTCAATGATTTTTTGTATATAAATTGGTTTAATCCACAAGGTCAAGGCTTTTCGTATCTATTTATCGAGTCTGTTCCTGTTTAAGGTTTAAGACTTTATCCTTTTCATAAATATCACGAAAACTATTAGTTATATCTATTCAAGGGGGAATCGTATTTCCTTTTAATAACAATCCTCTTAAAAAATCCAGCTATTGAAGCAAACCAAATAAGTTTTGATTACGAATCCATTTGAAAAAGAAAAAATGTAGTTTATTTTAAGAGTAACCGCCGTTTATTCTACCCATGTTTAAATATACGAGACAGAAATTCGCTCAGATAATAGTCTTTGTGTATTGAGTAAGGCGGGACTTCATAATGCTTCCCTGTGGACGAATTTGTCTGATTTCCATTCTAATATCGTTACGAGTCAAAGAAACAATTGTTTCAGCAATGCCGTTTCCCCGTTCAGGGAATAGTAACAGTGATTTTTTCATTAAATGGATTTAATTAAAAACTAGTAATTAATTACAATGAAGGATTTTTGAGTCGTTACTTGTAAATATTTAATAGAAATTAGTTCTTGATTGTAAAACAATGGATGCAATTAATTTCGTTTATATTAAAATTACCTGATGTTGGGCTAAACCGATCAAGTTAAGATGCAATCTCGGGACATTTTCTATTTTACAATTTACATTATGCTATCAAAGTTCAAACACGCCAAAATTAAGTTAATTATTGTAGGTTAGAACATCGGAAACTAGTTAGAGCACTGAACGGATAACAAAATTGAATTCTATTACCAATTCATTACGATGAAAATCGAAAATCAGGGCTCTTTCCATGTAAATTGCCACGGTAATAGCATTTAGACGGAACATCTTTCTGAACGGTATTTCATTTAGGTAGGGTCTAGTTTTCCTTGTACCGTGAAAGTACTCCACAGATAAGATCTCGAAAGCCTGTCCATTTAACTTTTTTTTCTAAAGCTGTAAGCGAAATGGCATCTGGTACAGTAGAATGTTCAGGGCGTCACATCGATTTGACAAAGTAGGGACGCCGTGATCATAAATCTTGACTTTAATAAATTTGATCCACCATATTAGTTTTCATGATTTTTTCTAGCCTTATATAAGTTTTATTGGAAAGACGTGAAAGTGATTTTCTTTTGTTAATATCACATGGTACAAGTACTTTGTTGCCATGACAGAATGTTACTATATAGTAAAATCTTAAATAAAAATCTGACGTATTCTTATCAGCGTTTTTGTATAATAACTTTAAAAATGTAAACAGCTTTTTTATTCGTGTATAAAAAACACATGCTTTTTAATTTACATAATAATTTCATTGATTTACACATTCAATATTTGTTAATCCAATTTGAGATGAATATACAATAACTTATAGAACATGGAGTAGAAATGGATTTCAATAAATTTACATACTTGTGTGTCTCTGTGTATGCTGTATGTAGACCAGCAGCAAGGTTCCACCTGGTTGGAATCCAGCCCCCAAAACTCCAGTTCCTCTTCAAACAAAGGACCGCAGACATTTGTGGGATAATGCAGCTTTCCAGTTCTACAAAAAAAGAAATTAAAGAACTTATATATTAGTCAAAAAGATGTCAATTTCATACAGGTCAATAACAAACGAGTTTCATTTGAAAACCTGTCTCTAGTATTCAGCGATTTATCTTCTCTTAATGGTACGGTGTTGACTACTACAAATACATTCGGGGAAATTTCAACGTAAACACAATGAGTTACAGGTGATAATAAGTTGCTTTCTTTTACAAGTAGGTACCCGGTACGTGCTCTCAAGAATTGTGGAAATATATTAGGCCTTAATTTGCTGGGTTTCTCGTATGTAGCAATTACTTGTATTGGGCCATTCTATACTGTTTAATGGCGGGTCCGATGGGACTACGATTCTACTATTCTAACTAGAGAATTATAAGCTTAGTTTCTATAACAAAGGTTTGAAATTTGAAACTTAATTTTTTATACATTTAAGACTTGTTTTACTATAATGATAATAAAGAAAAAAATCTTTATAATATAAATAAAAATATTGTTATTTTTAATTTTTTGGTAATTGTTTTTATCAGAACGTTAAGTTACAATTTACACAATAATAGATTAATAATTAATATACCAATAATATTGTTTTATAATTTAAAATAAAATAGGAGTTTTGTACATTATTGTATTAGTTACTGGCGGATTAGATTGCGTTGTCAAGAAAAACATAATCAGCTTCTTTACTTAGTTATATAAAAATGATATTTTTTTATTATACTCTTAGTAAAATTAATATCGTCACAATTGTTTTCGTCGACTGAAAATAAAGGTTATATCGTTGTCATAAATAAATTTATATCTCCAAAATTATATACAAGGACTTATGAATGATAAAACACTATTAGAGTTTAGTTCAATGACGCAAGAATCCTACCTCTATTACTTCTAGTTGACCTAACTTTAGTTTTATAATCGTTATGCGTCTTCTAGTGCCTTTATTATCTACTATACCTACGAGTAACAATAAATAGGACTAAGTGATGGAAAGTAAAACAAATATATGAAAAATTTAAATAAATTTACTTAAATAATATATAGGAAGGTACAAAAAACTTTGAAATTACTTAAGATCCTAATTTTCCAAGTCTTTTATAAAGAATTTAATAATAAAATATATATCATTATCAAAAAGAAATTTAAGTAATTAATTCAGGGCCAATCAACGAGAGCCCGAGGCTAATTGTGTAAGGCTTTTTTCGTATTGGTTTTTCTTTTACAAAGTTAGATATTTAAATAAATATGGTAATACATTCTTCTATTAAAGTAAAACCATTATTGATTCCAATTTTGAAGACTTATTTAAATGTAATTAAGAAACTTAAAGTTATTATATACAATTGTAATGGATATTTTTTAACTGTTATCTCACTTATCCTATTACCTAACCTAATGCTAAGTCCCTTACAGTATTACAACCAGGACCCTACGTAGTATTAAAGTATTAAACATTTGGTTAGGGCTTAGAAACACTTTGACAGTTTGCAACATTTTCACAGATTCTCAATCTGCTGCTTTTATTGAAATACTACTTTCGAGTGTAACAGTCCTTCACATATTAAAGTTATATTAGGAGAATTAAGATAGTGTCTTGACTGTACCTTTATATATAAAATTTTAAGAAAGAGTTTAATAGTGAAATAAAGAAATTATAAAGCCAATTTAAAAAAGCAGTAATATAAAATCTCAAAACAGTGTGTAATAATTAATAATATGGTTTACTTGAATCGTTTACTTTGAAATCATTCAAAATTGTGTTTCAATCAACCATATACTTACACACTTTTATGAACAAAATGACATTTATGATAAAATTTCTATGATAGCCATTTATTCTTCAGGATGTAAAGAATAAATAACTATATGTATCAGCGAGAGACTCGTTATAGCAAAAACATTTCTTTTTATGTAATTGTTTATTATCGGTAAGTAATAAAGAGAATAAAATCCTCATCTATCCCATGGCGTAGACTCAGCACCGCATGGTGATTTCATGGATTGCGGAGAAGTTTCCTCACCGTCATATATTGTCATCAGCCTGTTTTTTTTTTTTTTTTTTTTTTTTCTACGAGGGGAATCTTTTAAAGACTTCCTGCCGCGGGGGAAACGCGACAGGGGCATGTGGGATTTCCACCCACTAAACCACCTCGACGTTCTCTGCGCTGTGCGTAGACTAGTGAGCGGGAACGGCAAGCCATACTTCCGCTCACTACGCACGAGTCCCGAAAGGGACTCCGCCATCGGCAGGGGTATCAGTGGCTGACCACACCACCCCTCCGACTCAAGAGCAGCGTGCCGGGAACGCCAAACACGCCGCTCTTCCTCTAGCCTATGTTACCCGGACGCCGGTTCCCCGCCGACGCCCGGAGGCTTCCTCACTGGGGAGGCAGGTCGCGAGCATAAGCCCGCTGCCTTCGACCCAGCCTTCGTCGGCGCAGCGGCGCCGAGGAGGGGTCGTCTTCCCTCACTCGTTCAGCAGCCTCCTTCTGCAAGATGACTCTCTCGCTGAAGTCGGCCACCGCCTGCCATGCCCTCTCGCTGCCGACCATGGCCTGGACCACTGCCGGCAACGAAAGGTCTGCGCCAACCACGCGGATGAGTTGGCTCCGCTCGGATATCCACGCTGGACATTCCATCAGTGTGTGGTCAGCGGTGTCTTCCACGCGACTGCAGTGGTGACACGTCGCTGTCGGCTCTCTCCCGACTATGTGGCACAAATACCTCCCGAAGCAACCGTGCCCCGAGAGGATCTGCACCAGCCGGAAGGTCAAGGATCCATGTCGGCGGTCCACCCACTCCATGAGGAGCGGGCGAATAGCCTCCACGGTTCGCAACCCGGCCACTGGCTCAGAGAGCCTTTGCCTCCACCGATGGAACAAGGACGACCGCGCAGATCGTCGCCAACTAATATTGTCATCAGACTATCAGAGCCCACTGCTGAGCAAAGACCTCTTCTTACATGGAGAAGGTTCTAAGTCCGTCATAAGTGAATACATTATAATTATTTTCAAATTATTTACTTCAACAATGTGACTAATTTTATTAATTCATCAGGTGATTAGAATTTTTAAGTACCCACAATTATGAGGCAGATCTTACCATATATGTATAATTTCATGTGTCATTGTACTGAATTCATTCTACTACGGTCGCTCGTTGTAGTCACAGCGATAGAGTCCTTCCAATGCAATTATTGTTGACAGTCATTGTAAGAATTTGTTAGCATTGAAGTAGTATCGTTTTAGTTACTACAAATACGATATAAATAATAATTACTTAAGATACTACAAATTCCATGTTATACAAATCCTTTTATAAGTTCATTTATAATAAATGATACAAAAAAATTAACCAGACAATATTCTTTTCTTCAATGTCATTTAACTTTTATTATATATATTTTTATATAAGATGAACAATAAAACAAGTAATTTAATTTAAAACCCGAATAGATCGAATGAAACAATGGAGTACAACAAGTTTCTAATATAATTACACAGTATATATATAAGTAAGAACTAGAACAAAAGCTTTTAGTGCCTTGTTGATATACAGACGTCTCATTCATAATATTACCCTGTACATTACGATTCATGCCACAGTCACAACTTCATTATAATACCATATTTCAATATTAAATCAAGCTGAATTGTCTTCTATTCTGATTAATTGAATTAAGCAAAGATTTAATTTATTTATATGAGAAATTTAAGCAATATCTTTATGTGAAATGTGTTTATACTTTACACTGTGATGTCAAAATATCTTTATAAACTTCTAAGTAATTATGTATTCCTGGTAAGATGCTTAGAATTTGGGTATGCTTAATTCTCCTTCTTCTTCCTGGCAATTTTCCAGCTTTAGAAAGGGTCTGCCTTAAATGTTGGAAATAGTTTTGGCTAATTGTTTTCACGACCGGCCGTCTGCCTGACATCAACCCTCTTGGGGAATGCATTAATCACCACGCTTGCTCAAAACGGGTTGGTGATTTCAAACTTATAATTGTGAGATTATGTCCATGTTTCCTCACGATGTTTTCCTTCACCGTCTGTGAGTGATGTCTAAATACTCTCAGAAAGTACATATGACTCGGAAAAATCACATTGATACTTGCCAGGAACGAACTCGCACCCTCGTGCATGAGAGGCGATCCTTTAACCACCAGGCCACCACTGACTTGTTGGTATGTTGGCATGCTTAATTATTACTTAAAAATTTGATAAATCATTTGAACAAAAATCACAATGTACATACATACTTGGCAGTAACGATAAAACTTAAATTATCTTTAATTCTATGAATCCTGAACAAAATTTCTTCATTTAAACTTATATTTTACAGAATGTTTCCCAAAATCTTTTAGGGCCATAGTTTTCTGCTTTTATTTTTCATGTTTTAATTTTATCATTCATGTTTGTATAATAATAAAACGATAAAATTTTTTCTTATTCTGCTGAAAATAGATTTCCTCATATTTGAAAAATCCGATAAAAACTTTTAGACGGTGAGAAAAACAGCTTCCGTTTCTTATCGTGAAAGTTCCAGCTAAAAAAAATCGTTATCCATAAAAACTTCTAAAGTTTTGGCAAAGAAAACAAAAAAGATTATTACACTATCACTTATTATAACGGTATGTATACGGATTATTTATCTTAAACGATAACATAATATCAAGGAAACATAACGGCTTTTTACACAACCGCGACCACAGCATGACTTATTGTGTTAGAAACAGATATTTATTTAATGTTTCCTTCTAACAAAATATTACAAAAAAATGAGTAATTTTTTATATTAATTATATTTTAAGTTTCACTCAAAAGTAGTATTTCAATTAAAGCAGCAGAATGAGAATCTGTGAAAATGTTGCAAACTGTCAAAGTGTTCTAAGCCGAAACCAAATGTTTAATACTTTAATTCTATCTAGGATCCTGGTTGTAATACTGTAAGGGACTTAGCATTAGACTAGGTAAGAGGATAAGTGAGAAAACCGTTAAAAAT